TTCCCTTGACCAAATTTTGACCGTATCACCCTTTAAGCTGCCGAAAAGTTGCAATGAATTGATTCGACCGTCAAGCCACGTTTCGGTAAGCACCACAGCATCATAATTGCACTCGAGAGCAGCCAGGAAAAATTCATCAATCTTCGTACGTAACCCACGAACGTTTTGATAGTAGATCAGCAGTTCACCAGGTGATCCAGATTGAAGCGCAGAAGTACGTTGTTCGGCTAGTGACGATGGTTGACTACCGATGGATAAATTGCCTGATTGCACAAGCTGGAAGCCTCTCTCACCAGATCTTATCATAGAAGTAGCTCTAAGACCAGAAGTTCCCGAAGAAACGTGCTTAAATTTTTGGCTCAGCTCTGGTACTATTTTCGGTCCCAAGCTAATCGATGCACCCCTCGAAATATAGGGAAATCCACGAGTCCCTCATTTTACCTGTCAAACTTTCATAGCGAATCAAAACAAACATAGTGTAGTACTAGAATTTCGACTAGTACGGAGTACGTTAATCGATTATTGCTTGGGACCAATAGGTTCCCAGTTGTGAGCCAATTTAAAATCGTTAGTTTCCACCGGTTGATTCAACTGAGTTGATCATTTGACTTGCCTAGTCTAAACCCAGTTTTAGTAAAGTAGAAAACTGATATTGGCCCTTATTACCGATGTCACTTCACAGTTCAGTGACAACTTATCACGCACGGCGAAACTATTTCATTATGGGCGGCACAGTCGACTGTCAAAATATATGAAAATAGTTTCCCTATTGTAAAAATTCTCGCGTTTCTATACAATCGCCTGACGAATCAGGTGCTGGATCGCGTTTGGCAGAAAAAATGGTTCAAAAAGTCCCCATATTACCTCCTCTTGCTTTAATGTTATTTGCTTGAAGGGCGAAATGAGAGGCTAGGCTGATATTACATCCCGTAATCCCAGCAATCTGAATGGCCGTCGTGTGCAGCCTCGATCAAGGGTGCTCGAAATTTCTACGCCCACTTAGTTTTGAATAAGAAAAAAAAATGTTGAGGGTTGTGTCCAAAACACGACCGCATTGTTGACGTAGAACTACAAGATTATTTTCCTGCTTGATTAAATAATATATAAATGACAAAATAAATGGTTAAGAAATTTAATTGAAAATTGAAAACCCTTGATATTTTTCACAGATGTCCCTTGGAACTTTCATTAGAATTCACTTGAAATTATCTTTCTAATTTCCTCAAAATTCAAAACTCTCGGAATTTCTTTGAAGTTCTCATAAGAACTCTCTTCACATTTTTCTCGGAATTTATTTAGAATATTCATTAGAAATTATCCTGTAATCCTCTTTACAATCGTCATGTAATTTCACACAGAACCACCTAATAATTCTACTTTGAACTTAAACAATTGTTTTGGCAGTTCTTCAGAATGATTGTATCCGCAAATTCTAGTAGTTGAGAAGATTATTATTTTCCAAATAGAGGACGAAGTATATGTTTTCCCGGTTCGTCATCGAAACTCACGTACTTCTCCCGGTGATTTAGAATTTCCGGCTATTCCCGATTTCCCAGTTCACTGGTCACCCTGTGTTCAGTATAAAATAGGTCTTATCCATCTGAATAACATTGCTAGAGATAGCAATCTTCGAAACACAGAAAACGAAACTAACTCAGATAGTGAGTAACTTTTGCTCATTCGTAAGGATGCATACCTAAAAGCGTTGGTCACTCAGCGCATGAGTAAAAGTTACTCACCCTCTGAATAATATTCGTTTTCAGTGAATGTAGACTGCTTAAGTAAGCCTTTTGAATCAAATGCTACTAGCGCTGCAAAGTGAGTGAATTCTGAACTAAGAGGCCAATCATGCAATAGGTATTTTCCATCCGAATAACTTCACTAAACACAGAAACCTGCTTTCTGGCCGTGTGTGTGTGTGTGTGTGTGTGTGTGTGTGTGTGTGTGTGTGTGTGTGTGTGTGTGTGTGTGTGTGTGTGTGTGTGTGTGTGTGTGTGTGTGTGTGTGTGTGTGTGTGTGTGTGTGTGTGTGTGTGTGTGTTTTTATTCAATCTTACTTGCCTGCAGTGGTATTATAGAAGAAATTTTCTTACAACAATCCTTGATGTTATAATTTAAAGCAAGTTTAGTCCGGGAGTTAGAAATCGTTGGCTCCATTGCAGATTCAGTAACCCATTTCAGAATGTCTGGTAATTCACGTCCATTCCGAGATTACTTTCCCATACAATAAGCCCCGCATGTAAACACTACCGTTATCCTATGGATAATGGTACTGCAAACACACTTCCAGATTTCGAAATGTGATGTTTTGAAATCCGGCGCGTGTTTAGTAATATATGGAAATCTGCATTTATGATTGATTTATTATCAGATAGATCTTACCAAATTCTGCCTCCAAAAAGCACCACCTAACCCGCGGTAACCTAAAAATTCTTCTGCGTTGTTTTTACAACCGAACACAACATTTTGAATCACATGCGAAGCTTTTCATTTGCACCGAATTTTTGCCTAACACCTCATTCGCGTGCATCCTCTGGAATGCAGAACTCCAGCACCAAGAAAAGAAAAAAAAAATACTCGCTAAAACTCTTCTTGGGAGGGAGGCAAAGCACCAAAAACAAGCGAAAATAAAAACCGATCAACGCTTCACCACAGCTACTCGAAACAAATTCTTGCTCCAGAGTTTTCACGTTAGTTACAATATCACTAAAAAGTTTCTTAAACCGTGATGGATCCTAATTTACGCTTATCCACACGAGAAAACTAATCTTTGACCGATCACAGTAGAACTGGTAGTTAATTTTCCAAAACAAATCAAACAACGCAGGTAGCGCCAAGTCCTCTGATGCTTCCAAACATGATGACTCATGTATTCTTTCGCGATTCTAAAACTTCTCGGAAAGTGAGAAAACCACCAATCACACACGTATAACCGTCCGGGAGGCAGAGTGCCAGCGCTAACCCGGCAAATGCAGCCGAAAACTATGAAAACGACGCACGCACAAAACAGAGAGCAAACTTTAAACACAACCGTATCCAAAGGGGTTCGAAACTGCACTCGAGAAACCTGCTTTCTGGCCGTGCTGTCAAATTAAAACATGGAATTTGATGCTAATGGCACACTGAGCTTGACTATCCAGTATCCAATTTCTAGCCGAGATGGCAAGCTAAATCTCGAGCTAAATACATTGAAAACAAATATTACTCAGAGAATAAGTCTTTTCTTACTGATTTGTATGGAGATTTTTTGACGTCGGACTACGTCTGTGATTTCTATATAGGGGTACACTTTGTGAAAACTGAAAATGGAACATGTAACAAAGTTATGAAATTTTTTGAACGTTAATAACTCAGCTTCCCCTGTACCAATTTCAATAATTTTAACACCAATTGATCAGAAATATTTCTACACATCTGTAAAAATTATTAATTTACCATTTTTAAAAATGTCGTGTGCAACTGTTGCTATGATTATTAAAATTATCACCGATTGCCTGCAAAAAGCGATTTCCCTATCACAGATTTAAAAGTTGAATTCCATCCGGTCTCTCCAAACGGTGTTTATTCATGCTTTTCGTGAATCGCTGTGGGCCATCTATGTCAAGCGCGTCATACTCAAGAGTATAAACAGAAAGAACACCGCTCAAATTTATCTTCCCACACAAAACACAAGCTCCTACTACAGTTAACCAATAAGATTTATTATATAAGACCACGTAGTCCTGCGTCACCACTGCTTACAACCCCATAGGGCTGTCCCCTGTATTTTTTTTTAAATCTTAGGTTACTCATGCGTTGAATAACCTACGCTTTAAGAAAAAAATTCATACGAATGAGTAAAAGGGACTCACAACAGAGTAAAAGTTATTCACTCTCTGAGTTAGTTTCGTTTTCAGTGAGCAACGCAACCAACACCCCTGTTTATCACTTGGCAGCCAAACGATGATTGCAGTCAAACTTTCTAACGCTTACTTAAGCATTTGGATTATCATTCTATGTCCCTCCTTTTTTCTGTATTTAGCTGTTGTAGGTGAATGAATAGAAAAATGCTACGATGCCCACGCTGCAACGAAGACGTTCGAGGTCGACCCGTCCAACGTGTAACGCTGAATGATTATGCGACTTCGGCTTGAACAACACAATACGAGAAAGAAAAGACAACTGGCTTTTTACTCTTTAATCTCTATCTCTAACTCTATCTCTATCTTACGCACTTCAAATCGCCCAATCACGAGCTGGTTCGCGTTTGACAGAAAAGTGGTTCGTTTTCGCCCCCCGTATTGTCTCCTCTTCCTCTTAGGTGTTGTTAGGGACCCACTTTCTGATGATTGTGTTAGGGATGAGCACCTTGTGGTCGAAGAAAATGTATGAGAAATTTGAATGTTTCCATATTTCTTAATTTTTTGCTATTTAAATATCTAGCATTTATAGTGTGTGACAAACCACACTAATTTAATAAAATTGCCGAATCCAAAATAAAAATTGCCGAGTTACAAGTCGACATACAAATCATCAAAATCCATTGATTATTGGGCCAAATTATTTGCATTTAAAGTCCAACCAATTTTCGTTGCATTTTCCTGAATCGGCAAAGACGTAGTCCTACGTCAAAATCAATTTTCGGAGCTGGTTGCTAATGGAGTAACCATGAGTAACCACCATAAATCCCTACGAATTTCAATCACCAATCTAAAGACAAAAAAAAAAACGATGACAGCACCGTTTCACTACGTCCTCAATCATCATTTTCGCTCAAACAATCGTATCGATACAAGGTAGGCATGAGGTAATTGAATCCTGCTCACGGGGGCTCCATCCAGAATATCAACACCAGAACAATCACCATCGACACCCACGATAGGAGAAGGAGCAGGGAAGCGAGGTCGATCGGTGCTCGGTGCAACAATTAATCATAATATAACATCGCACCACACCACAATCCGATTAATGAATGCGGCTGGAAATGGGAGGAAAATGGGCTATGAATGAGTATCCACTTACTATGCGTATCAAATTTCCTGATTATCGTTTCAATAAGGGTCGTCTTGGGAGCGACGTGTCCTCTTCTGACAGGCATTTTTGCACTTGTTCTTTTTTTCCTTTCCTTCCTTTGGTTGCTGTTGCTTCTCTTTTCTTCTTTTTTTTATTTGCCGCTTACTTTGTTTTGCGAATCACTTTCTCACTCACTATTCACTACGAGCGCGTTTTGCAACGAATGGGGTTAGGGGAACTTTTGTTTTCGCACTTCTAGTCGTATTATAAGTAGGCTAATAATACGAACGATATATTGGTAAATTTCACTAAGAAAGAGAGCACTAATAACTTCTTTTTTTTTGGTGTGTAGCTTGGTAATTTTGTTGTTGCTATTTTCTACTGCTAATATTACTATTGGTTACGGGTGTATTCGTAGTATTTAGTTGGAGTAACGAAATGATTGCATTGAATTTGGGTATTCTGCTCTACGGATCTGATCTAGTAGTTGTATTCGACGATAATTTATTTTGCTACTATTTCTTTATTTTCTTCGTTGAAGGCAACAATTCACTATCGATTATTTGCTGTATTTTCTTCTTGCGTTATTTTTTTCTCGTTTTCGAATAAATCCACTTCATTAACACAAACACGTGAGACCGACTTGCACAGTAGCTAGAGAACCCGCACCAGTACTAGCACTTTCTCTTCATAGTAGGTCGCGCTCCGATGCTAAATCTTTTGATTCTTCCATGCTGCCCTCGACGGAGTGGGCTTAGTAGCAGTCGTCGTCGTCGTCGTCGTCTTGGCGGTTTTCGTCGAGTTTGCCAAACACAATTTCGATCTTGGCAAACGCTGGCTCGGCTTCATCTTTCCGCCTGCCTCGGCATCTTCTTCCGCGGAACGGGGTGGCCCAGCTCAGCAGCTCCTCAAACAATCGGGTCTAATCCGATTGGCGTATTAATTTCAGACTCACTCAGTGTTGTTATTATTTCGACTTTTCGCTGAGCCAGACAAGTTCAGTTCTGCTTTCATGCACTTTCCGTGACTGCAAAAAAAAAAGAGAAAAGAAAATGAGAAATCTAGGATAACAATTAACCTCGCACTGGAATTCCACCATGGCACTCCGTGAAAAACAGGGAGATTGAGGTGGCAAAAATATTTGAACCAAAATCGCGGACTCTGCTCGTGCTCTCCTCTCTCCCTCTCCCGGCCACTGGAGTTGAATACTATTTTTTACACTCTTCCAACCAACGAATCCTTGTTCATCTGTTTGTAATTTATTGATTGTTTATATTTATTATGTTTTTTATTTTACCTCAGCGCTTCGGGAAAATAGCAGCAGCAACGGATGACTATCCTTGAATGAATGAACCCCGGCCAATGAGGGTGAGCCCATCGAACAATGTTCTCCATTGTTGCAGCTCGAGCCACCCTAGTCCCCCTCATTTTATTGCGATACATTTTTTTTTTTTACATGCCGACAAGTGTTTAAAATTATTTGATTCGTCAATCGACAGACAATGTTTTATGCATCCGTGAGCAACAGAATGTAGTGCAGCGAGTGTATCATAGTAGGCGAAACTAAAAAGCGGTGGACGAATTTGAACTCCCAAGTGGGACGCGGGGAAAGCTCGCAGCAGGCGCGGTGTGACGCGATGAGAAGGAAGGAAACAAAGGAATATGGCTTTTGCCCATCAGGGAAGGATCATGGAAGTGTATATTGTAGGTTGCTGGCTGAGCTTCCTACACAGCTAGTAGTAGATCAAAATGAAATATTGGGTCCGTGATTTTATACATTCGGCCATGACGGTCGAAATTGATATCGTTACTGCCTACGAGTACCGGAAGTAGCCTTCGGTTGTTTGGCGATGGTCTCGTGACATGATGAGGCACCTAATTTTAAGGGATTCCCGTGGAGCGTTAAAATTTATTAGCTTGAAGTGGGTTAATTTGCGTGTCTGGAGAGCATCGGTTGTTGTGAATTCAAGAACTGCGTTCTATAGGTGGTTCAGGTTTGCTTGCATTTATAAACGCTATTTCGTCCTGGGAAGCCAATGTTCATCAATTACGTGAAAAACATCATAGACAAATTGCCACAACTTTATTATTCCATCAACCTTTTTTGCTCATTGATAACATTATGATATAAGAATTAAAAAAATGCACTGAATCCTGCAATAGTTGATTTTACATGATCATTACAAAGAGATACAGAGATCGATTGATCTGTACGTAATACTCAAGGTGTTAAACGAATATATTTTTAAGCAGTTTTTTTTTTAAACTGTGTTCAAGTGTCAGCTTGGCTGATAGTGGGGTTAGAAATTTCATTCGTTTCCGATTTCAAGCAGTCATGGACGTGATGGTTTGAGGATGTTATGAATCTGTTTTTAAAAATCATCACTCGTGTGACATTTTCTAGAAGCTGAAATCTCCACGATTGAATTAACCATTTATGTTTCGCTATATTAAAAGGTACAAAGGAACTAAACTCGTTCTAGGGGCTGTTCATAATGTACGTAAACAGTTTTTTAGAATTCTTACCCCCGCCCCCTCCCCCTGCGTAGACAATTGTACATACAAAATTTTTAAAAATTGTTTGGGTCGTGGATAATTGTCAACACCCCCACCCCCCTAAACTGTCTACGTAGTTTATGAACAGCCCCCTAAATCAAGGCATATACGCATCGCCAGGCTTCCAGAATTTCTTTAACTCAAACGTGCGTGCCAGCGGTGATACATTTTCGTGACTAATGTGGCTGGTAATTAAGGCAACGGGAGAAAGATTTCAATTTAACTATGCTAAGTTGAAGGTTATATATGGGTAGTGTATCCTAAATATAGTGATAACAATAAAGCATGCAAGCGTTCAATCTTTATGACCATTAAGTGACAGTTACTTCGCCTCATCCAGTATATTGAAGAGACCATCGAGTTAGGGAGGATATTGAGATAGCCTAGTCTGTATCTCCAAGTTGCAGGCGGCGGGTTCAATTCCTGATCCGGTCTAGACAAGCATTCGGGTTGAACATTTTCACGACTTCTCTGGGTATAGAGTATCATTGCTCAAGTAACAAATTTGGGTTTATTATTGTCTTGTAGACCATGGTTTGGACCCTGTGCTTTGGTCAGATATCGTATAGGGCGTCGTTGTGCCAATTTGGTCGTGGCACATTTCGAATATGAGAGAGTGATTGCAGTTTGCTGAAAAGTGCCTGGGTAAAATGCAAGTACTTTCGATGATTACTTGTAGCTGTTACAGTGAAGATATACACCCATATTCTCGTTTATGTTTGAACGTGTTTGTCATACAGAAACATTTTTATTTGATTTTATGTGGTATAGGGTTTCGGGCGTGGACGGGCATATGGGTGATAATATTAAGTTTACGTTAGGATAACGTTAAATAATTGAGAAATGTGTCGCTTCAGTTTGAGAAGCACTTCAATTCGCAACCGATGAACCATTCTGAGGGCCCACATTACTGTGCAGGTGCCGTTTGTTTGCAGGGTCCAATATTGGGCAGTTTGATGTTTAAAATGTACCATCAGTTAAAATTGTATTTTTCAGCTTTATCTTTATACATTCGTAAACTCCGTACAGACTATGGCTTATATCATGTAATATGGGCTTTTTTTTTCCTTTGGTTTGTTTTTTTCCGTCGATCTTGTTTTCCGTGCTGAGCACCAATGCTACCGACGTACCAGGAAGGCAACTCCCACACCTGGACCCTACCTATCGACCCATCAACTCATGAACCGGGGACCAACGGCTTTACTTCCCATCCCAAGGAAGGCGTGATCAGAGATGTTATGCCTCAGAACATCCCGGCGGCGCCGACTGGGATTGAACCCAGGCCTGCTGGGGTGAGAGGCAGTACTGTGCATCATCATAACGGTTATTGTACCTTGACGGTCATCCTTATATAACCGTCACATATCAAAAATGACGGTCAACTAGCATATCACTTGGAAACACCTTTACCTCACTAGACCGTCTTTATCATAGCCATATATGACAGTTAGATTAAATGACAAGGAGAGAGTAGCAAAATCATTCACTCACTGATCATCTCTGTTGTACATTTAAAAGTGGGAAGTGAGAATAATGCTCCCTCATTTACCTGTTCTTGTTAAAAGCTGTTAAGTTCAGAACATACGAAGCATTTTGATGAAAAAGTTGGATTTTCATTTTCCTTGTAACAAATAAATATGTGGGTGCTGTTACGTTACAATGTAAAAAAAATATCCATTTATCTTCAAAAATGCAATTTCTTAACTTGCCACTATCACTTTTTTATATTCCATCGGCAATATCAATACTCTCTTACGTACGCGTCATTGCGTACGATGCTTAATAAAGGGTGATACGGTCAAAATTTGGTCAATATCAACTTGACGTATTTCTTTCAATTTTGCATTTAAAAAACCTGAACACCCCTCATTTTGAAGGTGTGTGTGTGTAGAATGTTGCTCCTATTTTGATTTTGGAATTCACTCTTCAGTTGTCAAAATGCCGTCCAAGCAAGAAGAGCAGCGTATCAAAATTTTGCTCGCGCATCGCAAAAATCCGAGCTACTCGCACGCAAAGTTGGCAAAATCGCTAAAAGTTGCCAAATCAACCGTTACAAATGTAATTAAAGTGTTTGGGGAACGTTTGTCGACAGCCAGGAAGTCTGGATCGGGGGGAAATCGAAAACCGGAAGCCGCTGAGACGACAAAGAGAGTTGCCGGTAGTTTCAAGCGAAACCCTAACCTCTCTCTCCGAGATGCCGCAAATAAGCTGGGTGTATCGTCTACAACCGTGCATCGAGCCAAAAAACGAGCCGGACTATCGACTTACAAGAAGGTAGTGACTCCAAATCGCGATGATAAACAAAATACGACGGCCAAAGCGCGATCCCGGAGGCTGTACACGACGATGCTGACGAAGTTTGACTGCGTGGTAATGGACGACGAAACCTACGTCAAAGCCGACTACAAGCTGCTTCCGGGACAGGAGTTTTATACGGCAAAAGAAAGGGGAAAGGTAGCAGATGTTTTCAAGCACATGAAACTGTCAAAGTTCGCAAAGAAATATCTGGTTTGGCAAGCCATCTGTACCTGTGGCTTGAAAAGCAGCATTCTCATAGCTTCCGGGACTGTCAACCAAGAAATTTACGTGAAAGAGTGTTTGAATAAACGTCTGCTGCCTTTCCTGAAGAAACACGGTTGTTCCGTACTGTTTTGGCCGGATTTGGCATCTTGCCATTACGTGCAGGTGGTTCCCAAGGACAAGAACCCTCCCAACACGCCAGAGCTCCGCCCAATTGAGAAATACTGGGCTATTGTCAAGCGGAACCTAAAGAAGACCAAAAAAACTGCTAAGGGCGAGCAGCAGTTCAAGGCAAACTGGCTTTCTGCGGCGAAGAAGGTGGACAAGGTGGCTGTACAAAATCTGATGGCAGGGGTCAAGCGTAAGGCCCGGCAATTCGGATTTGGAAAAGCGGAAGCCTAACTGAATATTTTTCCTGAATTTTATACTAATTGAACTTGAAAAAGAAATTTAATTTGATTTTTTAAATAAACGATTTCACCGATTTACACGCGTTTTCCCTTGACCAAATTTTGACCGTATCACCCTTTAGATCTCAAAACTGACACAACTCTCAATTGACAAGCTCACGAGAATTAAATAATGTCAAAACAAATAACTTTTCAACATGGTTACGTTTCAGGACTAACATCAAATGTTTCCACTATGGGATTTCACAAATTTGACAGTACCCTCTTAACTGGTCTATAAATTTATGGCCCTTAACAAACTTGAACAACACATACGAACTTTGCGGCTGTATTGCATATTTTACAGCTGCCGCTTACATCGCATGTGTTTGTTTTGCGTTGGTTGTAAGCGTGTGAGTGAAAATTAGCAGACAACAGAAAAATGAAAAGTGAAGTAAAAAATCTTAGTTTTTTGAATTGCTCCGAAAAATTGCAAGGACCATCATGGAACCAACAGCTGGACCTTCGACTTGTCAGTGCGCTGCGTTTTAAAAGCAAATGA